TCTTACTTTTTCGGTCATATTTAATAATATATGTCTACAGGAAAGACTGCATATATATATATATATATATATATATATATATATATATATATATATATATATATAATAATATATAATAATATATAATATATATATATATATATATATATATATATATATATATATATATATATATATATATATATATATATATATATATAAATATATATATATATAAATATATATATATATATATATATATATATATATATATATATATATATATATATATATATATATATATATATATATATATATATATATATATATATATATATATATATATATATATATAAATATATATATATATATATATATATATATATATATAAATTATATATATATATATATATATATATATATATATATATATATATATATATATATATATATATATATATATATATATATATATATATATATATTTATATATAAATAAAGATGCTTTTTCACCCGCAGGGTTATAAACCCATGGAACCGCCACCCTACCGAAGCCGCAAACGCCAAAATCCTCTTAGGTTTTTAAATCCACACGGAAAGGATCATCAAGGCAAATGAGTGGGACCTTCAACAAGCCGCCGGCTTTCTGTCCTCATCGAGGCCACTAGTGTTATTAGCCCTCAGGTAAATCAGGTATATGACAAAAGGGTTGGGCTGAAAATGGACCCCTCTTTGGTATCCCACTTACCACATTTCTCCAGTCAGATTCTTTCCCATTTAGCACGACCCTTTGTTTCCTTTGTTTTAACCATTGTTTTACCCAGTCTAGTATTATATCATTTATTCCTCGAGACTATAATTTCCTTGCCAGTCTTTCATGTAGTATCTTAACAAAGGCTTTTGTAAAATTAATGTATATTACATTCACTGGTAGTCCTTTGTCTGAGTAGTTGGTACTGGTTTCAAGAAATGTGAGCAGGTTTGTATGGCAGGATCTATTTTTAACAAACCCATGTGGCGTCGATTTAATAAGATTGTTCACTGAAAGATGGAGAATGATTCCCCCCTTAGGATTCTCTCCGCGAGCTTGCAGATGTGTATCGAAGTTGATCGGTCGGTAGTTTTCTGCGGAGCTCTTCGGCTTGTCGCCTTCTTTTGATAATTACTTACTTTTTGCCGAGCTCTCTCTGTCTTTTTCCGAAATAGGGCTGACATTTGCGTATTTCCAATCAAGGGGTCTATCTCTTGATCCTGAGATTTCGTGAAAATTAGTTTCAGTAGTAGTCATAGTTCTTCTGCCAGTTCCTTTATAACTGTTGGATTTGGAGTCCATCTACCCGTGGGGCTTAGGAGTCATAATTTTTCAATGATCTTCCTGATTATGTCGCATGCAATGAGTATATCTCTTAATTCATTCTCTTCACCTCCTTCAAATATTTGTGTGGGTGATAGGATGTCATCTACTCTTTCTAGTGTGAACACTGATACAAAATACTAATTCAGAATGATTGCTGCCCTTTAATCGTCCATTATAACTTGGTTAGTCTCATCTTTTAAGGGTACTTCCGTCTTGTTCTTTGGTTTTATTTCTATACATTTAGTGTTTCAGTTTTAGGCATAGAGCGATCTGGGATCTTTATGTTTTGGATTTTTTTTCTTTCGTCGTTTCTATTGGCTGATCTGATTTCTTGGTTTGCTGAGTTTGGTGCCCTTTTATATATCTCATAATCTGTAATGTTCATCGTAGATTTATACGTTCTCCAGATGTTATTAATGCTCGTTTTACTACCTGTTTCATCCATCATCCATCTAATTCCCTTTCCATTCTTTCTCCTTCTTTGGTACATACTTTTGAACGAGATCAGTGATGACCTTGAAGTTTCCCCATGATGCTTCCATGCCATGCTCACCTACCAGCTCCATCCCTGAGGTGATTTACAGTTCCCTCCCATTTGTTGATACTATCCTCGATAGTAATATAGAAACTCATCCTCATGGACCTGTATGTGGGTTTCTATATTTGTAGTCCATCTTGTAATATAGTGCTCACATGAAGGGTGCTTTTATGGTGCTCTTCTTATGCTTGCACAATACCTAGAATGCTGTTGCCTCGTGTGGGCTCTACCATATGCTGGTGCTATACTACCACATTATATTACTGGGTATAAGAAAAAGAAAAATTATCATGGCAAATTGCCAATTATGTGAAAATTTCAGGAAATATAATTTTCAACAAATCCAGATTGGGTCAGAATGATATCTGGATTTGTATGGTCCTTCCTCTTTCCCGCTGATGGTGATGTTGTGGAGGTGTACCATATTGGACCAATGACAAATCTTTCAGGGGACTCCAGTGTATATATTTAAGAAGTCTAAGCATGTCCGAAGGAATTTCATTTACTTTGTTATGTTATCATGATAGTTGCACAGAAGTTGTTGTGTGATTTGTGGAAGAGAAAAGTTTCGTACAGTTTTCACTTGAGACCGAAATGCTGAAGGCTTTTTCTATGTCTTAATTGATGATGCTGTCGTGCAGTTGTTTTTAGTTTATTTGTAAATATATTTGGTCATGATGAAGATTGCCTTTGTGGATCAGTGAGGCCAGAAACCTCACCGTTTTTCAGTCTCAGGATCTTTTAGATGTGGCCTGAGGTTGATCAGTCATTCATTTCTTTTCGTAATATTTAGTGGGCTGATTGGTCTCGTCGTCTTATATATATACCACATCAATTGGTGCATGCAAGCAACAATGGTCCTTGCTGACAGGTCTTGTCGTCTTATATATATATATATATATATATATATATATATATATATATATATATATATATATATATATATATATATATATATATATATATATATATATATATATATATATATATATATATATGTCGTACCTAGTAGCCAGAACTCACTTCTCAGCCTACTATTCAAGGCCCGATTTGCCTAATAAGCCAAGTTTTCCTGAATTAATATATTTACTATAATTTTTTTCTTATGAAATGATAAAGCAACCCTTTTCTCTATGAATGAGGTCAATTTTTTTTTATTGGAGTTAAAATTAACGTAGATATATGACCGAACCTAACCAACCCTACCTATATATATATATATATATATATATATATATATATATATATATATATATATATATATATATATATATATATATATATATATATATATATATATATATATATATATATATATATATATATATATATATATATATATATATATATATATATTTATATATATATATATATATATATATATATATATATATATATATATATATATATATATATATATATATATATATATATATATATATATATATATATATATATATATATATATATATATATATATATATATATATATATATACCCATCTGTTGGTGCATGCAAGTAACAAGGCTCCTTGCTGACTGGTCGAGGAATGATCTGGAGAAGTGTGTGGATGTTGGCATACCAACTATCTATACAGCATCTGTATTGTGCTAATTTATTTATTTATTTATTTATTGAATGGTTGAATTACATTAGCAGCTGATGTAGCTACTACAGTATACTTCCTCTCCTTGGCATAGAAATAAAATGTATTTGTTACTTCTTGGGTCCCTGGTGGAGCAGCTATATCTGGAACCATTTAGTTCCATGCCCTTCACTACACAACTGCTGCATTTTTCCCTTGAGGTCTCACGAATGTTGTGATCAGTTTCTTCAGTATTTCTCCATGCATATATTTAAAAACGGCTTTGGAGGTGGCTACAGATGGGGGTGGCATTCGAATATTTTCAATGTAGACGAAATTACCTTGGTCTAAAGATTTTCTGAATAAGACTTAAAGTGGTACAAGTTTTCCACCAGCTGGTTTACGATTTTTATTCAATTTCACCCACAATTTGAGCATTAGATTCAGTTAACTTGCCAATGTTCTTCCTGATTATTATGACCATTATGGATATTTCCATGAACTCATTCTTGTATGCTTAAAACATCTATGTTGGTGTCGATATGTCGTCTAACCTCTCTAATATAAACATTTATATAAGGAATACTTTCAGTATTGGCTGCCTTTTATAGTCAAGTATAACTTGTTTGGTTTATTTTTTTACTCCTTTTATAGGCATAAAAAGACTTGGGATATTTCTTAATATTTTGAGTAAATTTTTTATGTTTTGTCTTTTGGCTGATCTGAAATGTGAGATCTACTGCTGAAGCTCTGATGTCTGTCGTTCTCGTTGGACGGATACCAAGGACGACCAGAGATAAATTGTCGTGCTAGGCATCTGGGCGTTCCGCCATCCTGTTGGACTCCAGATGATAAGCTGTGGTCCGGTTTTGGGTGGTACCGAGGAATTACAAGTAGCCTGTTCGCAGGTGGGAGTTGAACTGGCAACCTTGGTCCGTGATGATGGCAACGATGGAGGATGTGCCAAATTGAGCTTGTAACTGGAGGGATATGCATGAGCCATTGACTTGGCTGTGATTCAGATCAAATCATTACCTTAGGCTACTTGGAGAACTAGTAGATGCAAATGAGGTGCTAGCAGTGTTCTGTGGTAAAGGTCTATTCATGTCATAGTGAACCATCTCAAAGCCACCAGAGGATAACTGGAACTTATACTCTGACGGCTATTTTCTTGAAGTAGTGGTGGTGGACAGTGCCCATTGACTCTGGAAACAGGTGCAGAACCAACAACGTTCATCATATTGATTTTTAATACACTACACATTCTGTTGGATGGTGAGCAGTGTCCTGATTGTCTCGATAATAACTCTGACACAGTAACATAAAACGATTACATATATTGTTGACTATTTCCGTGTGTTTCAGTCTCCATCTGTCTCCATATCGTAGTTACACACCAGATAGTAAAGGAGATCAGACCTTCTTTATACATAGTCAAATCAATTACATAAAATTTTTAGTTAAATAATCATTAGGGTTGAGCTTATATTGTAGGTAGTATTGTACAATATGTTTAGTCTATAGTAGAGTACTTCTTTTAGATTATTGATGACCTTTATTTTCAGGTGATATTTTGTAGCGAGGAGTGTCAGAAACAGGGATTATCAAGCATCCATTGGCAAGAATGCCCTATTGTATCAACCCTGCGTCTACTGGACATACAAAGTTATCTTGCATTAGCATACAGATTAATGATGAAGACCTCTCATGCCAAGCTCAAGGAGTTGATACTTCTACTGCAATGTGAGGCCAAAAATCAGCTTCCTAAGAATCTTGGATTCAATAAAAATGGTGTCTATGATTCATCAGATTATAGAGCAGTGTATCACCTGACAACCAACAAAGAAAAGATATCTGGACACAAACTATTTGCCAGGTGCATGGAGGCTTTTATTGTAACCAAACTTCTGTTGCTGAGTGGTCGCTACTTCATCAGTTGTGATGGTGAGCCCTTCACTCCAAGTCACGAAGATATCGTCCTGACTGGCAGCACACTCATCCATCATATGATGGGTCTCCATTGCAATAGTTATGGCACTACATTTCCCATCGTAAGCCTTTCACTTTATTGTTATTCTGTTCTCTAGCCTTACCTCAGCATACACTACCACCACCTTTGGCACTTGTTTTCCTGATTGAACTTATTATTTTAATATTAATGTTTTCCATGTAATAACCATTGCATCTCATATTACATTTAAGTATAACTTAAATAGGCTAATGTTTTTATTTACAGTTTTCCTCCTTGACATAGTGCATATTGCTAATATTTAGTATATTTTTCATTTCTAGTTTAACGTGAATGACCATAAGGAATATCAGATGGAATTATGTGGCAGGGCAGTTCAAACTGCATCAAGTCTTCTGAATCACTCCTGCAATCCAAATTGTACTGATTTTTGGTATGGCACAACTGTTATAGTAAGAGCAATACAATTCATCCCCGCTGGCAAGTCATTAACCATCTCATATGGATTAGATATTGCTGTAGACACAAGAGAGTTCAGGAGGTTTATACTGATGACTAATTTTTATTTCAATTGTACCTGTGAAGCTTGTGAAAATAACTGGCCAACTATTAAGGAATGGCCACCATTTGAAACTTTAAAATGCACCAGATGTAATGAAGGAGAAGGTATCAGCCCATGCACAAAAGTTTGTCCTAATTGCAATCTGAACTATGATGAAGGAGGCACACAGGGACGAGCACCTTATAATTACAGGCTCATCTTGAGGAAAATACATAAGGTTGTAGAAGATTTTTTTGTCGCCAATAAAAACATCTTGCAAGAAGGCAGTAACTCTGAAAAGGACATTAAGGCAGTGCGTGCTTTAATTAAACTTTTCTGCAAGTATGTGATGCAGCCATGTCTTGGTCTCCGTCTTGCTCAAGATGCACTGCGCTTTGTCTGTTTACGTCGTGGTTCTTGTGTCTATGTTAAACATGATATTGAAAATACCCTGATCAATCTTCTGAGTGCTGAGATGAATCGAGCCTTACAACTGTAGCCAGTTTTACAAAATGAGTCTAAAACGTGGACTACGGTAAATCCTATGTGTTTCAAGTGAATATTTTAAATAACTTTAACTAAAAACATATCAAAATAGGACATATCAAAATAATAGTTCCAACACTGGCACCTGATCAATGTAAGTTAAGTCTCCAAAATAAATGAATTTAGATGACTATAAAATGTTTATATGGGAATTTACTGCAGGTGTCAAGCTACAATTTGAAGAATTAAAAGCTTCAGCTTGCATGATTGCAATTTGCCAGAAATTTTGTATAGAAAGATTTGCCAGAAATAAACCCCTTTGCATCGGGTGGTGTAAAAGTTGTCCGAGGCCAAGTTATGTGAACTATGTTTATGGCACAGAAAAATCTTTCCACAGGATGAAATGTTAGGCCAAGTCTTATGTGACTTTAAGGACAGGAACCTGGACCTGGTAAATGCTTCCATCGGTTGGAGACAAAAAATTGTCATCCCTTATGCGGAATGCGAATTACCTGCTATTATGCTTTTGTCAAATTCAAATTTTAATACTGTATTCATAAATGTTGATATATATAATGTTGAGTTAATTTACCGTAACTTATTTAGCTAAGAGAAAATCATAATAATAACATAACATGTGATATCTGTAATTATGAACTGTATACTCAAGAATTAGATTTCGAAGGAACATTTTTCAGTGATTTAAAATCATTACATTTGTTAAATTCAGAATCCAAAACTGTGTAACCACTTATAAAAGTCATTACAATAATGGTGTAGGCGGTGGGCAGGCAGTACACTACTCCCAAGTTTTCAGACTTTCTACGTCCATAGTTCTCAGTTACCAGTGACAAGTGTCCCACATGTACATGAAATTACCAGGCTGTGCTGGGGCACAAATCTAATAACATTGATGATCTACATGTGAAAAAGATTTTTTTTTTTATAAAACTTTAGGGTATCGTGAGAGAAGTTCTGCATCACTGCCTCAACCCAAACTTACCAACTATGATGGAACCATAATGTACAATTGCCCCTGAGTACGAATTTTTCAGTGTACGACGACAATTTCCTTTATGTAATTAATTGAACTAGAATATATGAACAGAATAAAAGAATATATTTAGTAATTAAACAATGCAGAAACAATGAAATGTACACAAAAAAAAGATCAACATGTAAATGCAGGAAATGGCATTAAAAACACAAAAATCAGAAACAGTTAAATGGGTCACAGTGAGAGTGGGTTATTGTGTTAGCTGGAGTTCCGATTGTGTCTTGATACTAAAAATGGAAGGTTTAGTGAGTGAACTGGTGCTAGTAAGGGAGCTATGTGGAGTTCTGAAAACTGACTTGGAGTCCCTGTGGGAGGAGCTACGACAGCTGTAACAACTTCAAAAGGAAACAAAGGAGGAGAGCAGTATTAGCAAGTCTTCACCTAGGCATGTCGTAAAGGACAGGGGTCTTAAAGAAGATTCTGACCAAGTCGCCTACTGATGTTATAAAGACTTCCAATCCATTTGCCGTGCTGGAAGGTGAGTGCTGTAGGGAGACTGCAGATCGCTCGAAAGGGAAGGCAATGAAGGGAGCGCAGTTCCCACAAGGTGCTCACAAAGTTAAGAAAGTAGCTAAGCAAATTTTGATAGTTGGAAACTCCCAGGTGAGGTATTTGGACAGAGCTTTTTGTGCCAGAGATAGGGGAAACAGGTTAAATGTTTGCTATCCGGGAGCAGGAATTGGTGATATAGTAAACAACATGAATTATATTATGGCTGGAAATGGAAACAAATCCATTATTTGCATCAGTAACAGTGGAAATGATGTAGGACGAGTTAGGAGTGAGGCACTGATACAGCGGTTTAAGACAGCTTTATGTTTAATTATTTATTACTTTGTTTAAGACAAAGTTTTATTTACGGTATATATTTATTTCGGATTGTTTTGTGTATGACAAATATGAGTATTATTATGTATTAAATGTATTTAAGGTTAATGTTTTTGCATGTGTGGAACAGATAAATTCAATTTGTTATTCTTTTGAAAAATTCGATTTGGTGTATGAATTTTCCTGACAGGGTATGGCCCATCTCTGGGAACAGATTATATACGTATATCGAGGTTCAACACCTATCAGCAAGCTTAGCAAAGTAATAGAAAAGACTTCTCATTAACCATGTAAAAGTGGGAAAATTGCTGATAATTGTGCTTGAGAATTAAAAGAAGAAGTCAACTGTAGCCAGGTGGTGGCCACGAGTGGATTAAGCACTAGGAACCACTATATCAGAGGTATTGACCCCGAGGCGTCATACATTGTTCTTTGTACAAATGTAAGCTTATTTGTGCCTGTATGATCACATTCACAAGTATTCTAATAATACAACATTAGAACAACAAGTTCATTGAGCAGTAACCACCTCCCCCTAAACACCTGAAGAGGGCACAAATGACCAGCTGATTTAAATCTGGTAATATAATTTGGACCTCCAGTTAAACTGGATAATATATAAACAAACATAGTATTTATAATTTATTCCAGAACTATTGGGAAATGCAAGGTGTTAAGTCTTATGAAAGTTTGCCCTGTGAAGTATGCACTAGTCATTTCTGTAATAGTTTGTATCTGAAATAAAGTGGTCTTTTTTATATGGACATATTCATTAGAATTCAAATATCTAAACTCAACGTTTTAATTAGGAATTTTTATTGTATAACTAACATTTGTAAACATATATTAATCAATGGTAGACAAACAGTTTTAGGATATTTTTATTAATTAAAAGATTAAGAGGATATCAGACATTAAAAAGTATAATAAGTAGTTAAAAACTTTTACTCCAAGCATATGGGACTAACCACATAGATCTAAAAACAACGGTTTTGTACAGAAATTGAAACATAAAACAATATTTGATTCTGTTTCTTTCTGCATGTGTGTGGCTTTGTAACATGTGTATCTTCTAAAGGTATCATGTAACTTAGGAAGATGTAATCATTGAACTTAAGTGCAGCTATAAAGTAACTTATTCCTGATAAAGGAACTGCATTAAATAAGAGTGTCTTTCACTTATATTTAGTTTATCACCCTCTAATGAGTCCCAGTCACATATTTAACGTCACATACTCCGCGGCCTGTGATGAATGGTTGTCCTTGTTCCACCTACTACACTGGCGTGTGATGAATGGTTGTCCTTGTTCCACATACTCCCTGGCCTGTGATGAATGGTTGTCCTTGTTCCACCGACTACACTGGCCTGTGATGAATGGTTGTCCTTGTTCCACCGACTACACTGGCCTGTGATGAATGGTTGTCCTTGTTCCACCGACTACACTGGCCTGTGATGAATGGTTGTCCTTGTTCCACCGACTACACTGGCCTGTGATGAATGGTTGTCCTTGTTCCACATACTCCGCGGCCTGTGATGAATGGTTCTCCTTGTTCCACCTACTACACTGGCCTGTGATGAATGGTTCTCCTTGTTCCACCTACTACACTGGCCTGTGATGAATGGTTCTCCTTGTTCCACCTACTCCCCACCTTGTGACATACCGTTGGCCTTGTTCCATCTACTCCCTGGCCTGTGACGTATGGTTGGCCTTATTCCCCCTACTCTCTGGCCTGTGACATATCGTTGGCGTTGTTCCACCTACTCCACAGCCTGGGACGAAAGGTTGTCCTTTTTCTTCCCACTCACTGGCCTGTGACGTATGGTTGTCCTTGTTCTCCCTTCTCGCCTTCCTGTGACATATGGTTGTCCTTGTTCCCACTACTCGACGGCCTGTGACACAGGGTTGTCCTTGTTGTCCCTGCTCACAAAGAGATAGCAGGCGGCTCCACATCAGCGAGGCACTACACATAAAAACGTCAACACCAGCTGTTAATAGCCAATTAATGCACAACTATATTCTACCCACTTCAGCGCACCATATGGACCAATAGGCCCTCTGCAGTTACTTTCATTCTCATGTACCCACCTCACCCAAAACTTTTGTGTCACTTCATCCAAAACGAATATAAAGCAAGATTTAGGACAAATGTATCATACACAGTGTATCAAGTGTATCATAAGTGTAGTGTTAAGTATAAACAAGTCTTTGAGAATGTAAGACACCCTTACGAAATGCTTCTAGGTGGCAGACCTAGAATATATATATAAATATATATATATATATATATATATATATATATATATATATATATATATATATATATATCAACCCGTTCTCACACAAGACAGCACATATATGACTTAATGCTTAAAGTCAATATGTTGAATATGAAATAGTAAATATGTGATATATTCCCAGTTACTTTTTTTACCAAGGCCCAAACTCTTCCTCACGTACCAATTTACGTGTCACAGTACCCGTCCGTCAACATACATAGCAGAATATTCGTGATTGGTTCAATTATAAGGAAAATTGTAGTTTTCAGGTCCCACATGGGTTGTGAAATTTACCTACTATTGTCCATGCTCTTATAATATTACAGATCAGCTACTTCCTATTGAAGGCTCGTAGTTTTGTTTTGAGAAATATTAGTTGTTCTTAGTAAATTATAATAAGCACTAAAAATTATTACATAGAATAACAGTCCTTCACCAATCAATATTATATACCATAGTTTGCGCTTTAAAAATCTTGAAAGAATGTTTTGTAGGAACGCTAACAGAAAACGATGTTACGTTGGAATGTCTATGGGGTAAACTACTGCAAACAGGACGGTATTGTGTCTAATATACCAACTACAGCTAGGATGGGTATATTGTCACCTACCGCCTGTTAGGTGGGAAAGGGGTCCAATACCACCCACAGGATGGGTATGAGGGTCACATCCACCCACAGGATGAGTATGGGGATCACATCCACCCACAGGAAGGGTATGGGGTCCAATACCACCCACAGGATGAGTATGGCGTCCACTACAACCCACAGGATGGGTATGGGGCTCCAACCACCCATAGAATGGGTATGGGGCTCCAACCACAAATAAAATGGGTATAGGGTCCAATAACACCCACTGGATGTGTATGGCGTCCATTGCCGCGCGTCGAGCTCGAAAACCGCTGCATTCATCTCAGAACCATGCCTATTTCACACAGATTCCTTAATAAACGTAAGAGTTTTATATGTCACAAGAAAGATAGAAATGTAAGCTTCATTCTAAATACCTTACCATGGGCATATTTAAATTTAAAGCTAAGATACGTGTACTTTTATAATAGCCGAGCTTTAACCCCGGACAGATTGATCGACTGAGCAACTCTCTCTCAGAACAATGTTTATTTCACGTGAATTCGTTAATAAACATATATGTTTTATATGTCTCAAGAAAGGCAGACATATAAGCTTCACTTTAAACACTTTACCATGGACATATTTAAAGTTCTAATGAAGATACATGTATTTTAAAAATTACGGAGCTCCCACCCCATACAGACTGAACGACAGAGCAACTCTCTCTCAGATCAATGTTTATTTCACGTAAATTCGTTAATAGACACAAATGTTTTATATGTCTTAAGCAAGATAGAAATAAGAGCTTCATTTTAAATACATTACAATAGACATATTTATAGCTCAAGTGAAGATACATATGTTTTTATAGTAGCGCTCAGTAGCTTGTCGGGCATGGAGTGCAGACGCCTACGCACTTGCCGATATATTGTATAATTAACAAAGATACGCTAATAAAGCCTAAAATCTTATATGCCTCCAGAAAGACCGAGATATGAACATTATTATGATTTCACCAAATGAAATATATCATGTTCGAGAACAAAGATATATCAATTTTAAATTAAGTTTCGACTCTTGCTCGGGCGAGAGAGAGGGAGCGACTCTCGCCCCATCTATTGGAGATTCTGTCCACTAAAGACCCAAAGCTACTCAAACCCTCCTAGCATTATTTAAGTAATGAAGTAATATGGTATATTTACTATAATGTGGGTGCTGAATGCAGAACATGAGAAAACATATATTTACTCCAAACTAATATAATTTCATTATGAAATAAGTAAATAAGTAGCATCAAAGGAAGTCGACGGTCCAAGCGTCAATGTTGTGGAGCGACTTATCCAAGATATATCGTTGTTTGGAAAGTGTTTGTTGACATATCCAGTTGTCGCACTTCTCTGCACAAATTATCACAAATTTAAATTATAATGTTAACAAGTAGAATACGTATTTTTAATAAAATCTAACATAACTAGCCAGAAAACATTTAACATTTATTAAAAAAATATATGTTTGGAAGTTAAATCGACTTCATAGGACAATAGTTTTGTTATATATACTCGTTATTCGTTGACATGCGTTCGCTACTTAAACTACCATGTACTGTACTTATGTAAAATCTCCCATGTCTCTTCGCTCATCTCACCGAACCCTGCAGGCTCTTTGATATATTGTTTAATTAATTGAGATTCACAAATAAAGCTTATAATTGTATATGTTATCAAAAAGGCAGAGCTTATTTTAGTTCATTTATTATGCACCCCATACCCATCCTATGAGCGATAGTGGA